TTTTTTTTTAAAGATGACAAGTAAGGGGATCTTAACCCTTGACTTGGTGTTGTCAGCACCATGCACTTCCAAGTGAGCTAACCGGCCATCCCTATATAGGGATCCAAACCCATGGCTTGGTGTTATCAGCACCACACTCTCCCAGGTGAGCCACAGGCTGGCCAATGAAATACAGTGTCCTTTATATTATGCTACATCTCTTTTTAAAGGAATAAGTGATTTGGGGGTATTCTATAATCTAACAATTAAAATTTCATCTATCATTTTTCTAATTCATGTCCTTAACTTCAAATTCTTCCTCTTCTATACTTCCCTATACTCCAAAAAGCTTGTCAGAATAATAGCCCTACTTCAATAGTCGCTACAATTGATTTCCTATAGTACTTTATATATGTATACTCTTTTTATAGCCCAGATCAGACTGCATTATAATTATTTGTTTACATATCCATATCTTCCACTACACTTAAGTATCATCAAGAATGATGTTGGGGGGCTAGCCAGTTAACTCAGTTGGTTAGAGTGCAGATCCCTGAACCCACCCCCTTCAAAAAAAACTGTCAGGACTGTACCATTCTGCAATCAAATGCTCTATTGGCACATAGCAGGTCACCAAGACATACCATATATTTAACATTCTGAAACAATCTAAATTTACAGAAAAGTTGCTAGTACAAAAACCTTTTTACCTGAACCATTTGAGGATAAGTTGCCAACTTGATGCCCCATCACTTCCAAATATTTGAGCGCGTATTCCCTATAGTCAAGGACATTCTCCTACATAACTATGATACAACCATGAAAACCAGGAAACTAACACTGATACATTACTAAGAGCTAATCCTCTGACCCCACTGATATTTCACCAAATGTGCTACTAACATCCTTTATGGCAAAAGGATCCAGTCCAGAACCATGCATTGCCTTTACTCTTTATGTCCCTTTAGTCTCCTTCGTTCTGGAATACTTACTTCCTCAGTCTTTCTTTGACTTTCATGATCTTAATACCATTAAAGATTATAGGCTAGTTATTTGTATTTAATCCACTCAATTTGAGTTTGTCTGTTTCAGGATGCTAAGATTCAAGTTAAGCATCTTTGGCGGAAACATCACAGAAGTGATACTGTGTTTTTCTCACTGTATCCTATCAAAAGGAAGATTTTGATTTGTTTCACTACTGATGATGTTCACTTCGATTGATCTGATTTAGGTAGCATCTGCCAGGCTTCTCCACTGTAAATTTAGTTTTTTTCCTTTGTAATTAATGAGAATTTTGTAAAGAGGTGCTTAATTATGTAAATAATTCCATTCCTCATTAAACTTTTAATTTATTCATTTTTTAATTTATATCATTATAGACCCATTATTTCACATTTTATTAAGTATGTTATAATCCACTACTATCAGTCTTTATTTTGATGCTCAAAATGTCCCATATTTGATCAGATGGGACCTCTTCAAGCTGGCTCCTATGTACTTCTGACATGGCCTCAACCTTCGTTAATCCCTTCTCTGCTTGATGGCAAAATAAGATGTTCTGGGCTCATCTTGTACTTTCCCAGCCCCATTTCTCCAAAGAGCCCTGATTCCTTTAAGTGGCAGATGTCTGTTCCAAGTAAGATCTGGGTACTACATGTATGCACTGCAATTATGGTGTCACTTCTCCCAGTTCCTCTGAGAGCCAGGATATATATGTATATTTACATATTAAATATTTATATACATACAAGTACATATTATATATACATACATTAATATCTATTTTTATTCCTATATCCACTTACAATCTATATTAAAAATCATAACTTCATGATAATACACTGAAATTCCAATCCAGCTCTACAGAGATAATTCTCATTTTCTCCCTTTCAGTATTTCTAACACTCTTCACTATTTCCTTAACATATTTAGTTACACGATTAATTCCTCTGTATATAATAAATCTCCAGTCACCACCATTGTTACCCTTTCCCTTCAAAGATACTCTCCCCACCCAGCTTGACCTCTGACACTCAAAACCAAGCAATCCTTCCTCAAAGATGCCATCCTCAACCTGTGTGGCTTTCAGACTCCACAAAGGGCCACCCATCTACAAGAAAACCCTTGTCCCTTGCCTTAGGTGATAATAATCCATGCTGGACAACTGCCCTACATACACTCCCCTCCTACCCTGCTTGAGCTTCAGTACCCCCTCTGAGCCACTGCAGCAATACCCCCAACCCGCATAAATGAAAACTATGAAAAAATTCATTTTAACTGATGTCATCACCATCAAAGAGCTTAAATCAAACCTTCAATCTTTAACAGTAAATAGTTCAGTATTGTATTGGATCCCCATACTGGCCAGCCTCAAAAAAAAAAAAAAAAAAAAAAAAAAATTTTTTTTTTTTTGACTAAAAAATTGAACTTTTGTTTTTTTTTTTTTTTTTGGGCCCCCCACGGGCCCCCCCCAAAAAAAAAAAAAAAAAAAGCAATAGTTCAATATTGTAGTCAAATACAATAGTATTTCTTGATGCATATCTCAAGCTCATATTGCTTACCTTCGAGCTACATTTTTGAAATAGCCTGCACAAAGGCATCTTCGTAGGACTTCATGTTTAGGGCCTTCAAAAGTCTCTCTTGGGAAATCACTTTGCTGTAGAAAGAATATATATACGGTGGTAAATCTCACAGAACAATTTGAAATAATCTTTTATTCTGAAAAGTCCACATTTATAAAGACTTCTGCTTCTGGCCAATATGGAGTAAGAGGGATCAGATTTACCCTTCCACCTGAAACAACCAAAAGATGGACAAAATATATGAAATGATGATTTCTAAAACACTGTATATCAGGCAACAAAGATCAGTGACTCCAAGAGACAGAAAATAAATGAAGTAAGCCTCACAACAGAGAGATTCCAGACCAAAGTGCAGTGAAGAAAAACCCAAATGGGATCCAGAGAACTCCCTGAGTTAAGGAGAAAGAGCTGAGAGTCCAGGAAGACCAAGGTGGCTAGAATTTACAGGATAGAGTTCAGGAGAGAACTACAGAAAGAGAACTCCAGAGATCTGCAGAAGGTCCTCCTCAAGTGTTCAGCTGAGTACTGACTTGCTCATGAATGTGAAGAAACTAACGGCCCAGGAAAAGAAACTCCCAGAAGGATAGGAGGTAATAGTACTTGGTGTTCACATAGGGCTAGGAATGGTACCTGTTTCTATACGCCAGACTAGAATACCTCATAATTCACACGGTTTTGGGAAAAGTAGAAGAGCCTAACAAATCTTATAAGCAAGACCCAAAAGGATCACATAGTTTCTAAGTAACTGTAATACCAAAATATCTAGAACCAAGCAAGGTAAAATTCACAATGCTTGACATCCATTCAAAAATTACCAACCATGGAAACAAGCAGGGAAAACAAAAACAAAAACAAAAAACACACAGGGGAAAAAAAAAAAGGCAGGGCTGGCCAGTTAGCTGTCAGTCGGTTAGAGCATAGCCTTAACACCCAAACAAGCAGGGAAAACAAAAACAAAAACAAAAAACACACAGGGGAAAAAAAAAAAAAGGCAGGGCTGGCCAGTTAGCTGTCAGTCGGTTAGAGCATAGCCTTAACACCAACGTCAAGGGTTCAGATCCCCATACCAAAAAGATATGAATTCTAATAAAAGGAAAACACTTAAAAAAAAAAAAGGCAGGAAAATACAACCCATAGTGAGTTTATAAATCAGTGAATCAAAACCAACCCAGAATTGGCACAGACATTAATTATATTATATTTATATTCTAATTATATGTATATTATAACTGGATTACATATATTCAAAAAGTTAAGTAGTGACCTGGAAAATAAAAAATAATTTTTTAAAGACTCAAATCCAACATCTAGAGATGAAAATCAGATCACCTGATGTGAAAAATATACTGGATGGAATTAATGGCAGAACAGACGTTATGGAAGAAAAGATCAGTGAACTTGAAGACAAAGCAAATAGAAAACATTCAAAATGAAACAGAGAGAAAGTAGAATAGTGATTACTGGGGGGCTGAGGGGAGAAGGGAATGAGAAGTTCTTGTTTAATGGGTATACTTTCAGTACAGGATGATAAAAAGTTCAGAGTGGTAAGGGTTGCACAGCATTGTAAATAGACTTAATGCCACTGACTTGTGTACTTAAAAATGGTAAATTTTATGTTAATTGTATTTTACCACAATAAAAAAATATATGGAATTGAAAAAATAACTATGCTGAGTAAATGCCAGACAAAAAGGAAGACATACTATACAATTCCATTTACATAAAGTGCTTGGAAATACAAACTTATGTATTGTGACAGAAAGCAGATCAGTGGTTGCATGGTAAGAGCAGGGGGACCTGGAAGGTGTGATGGATGGATTACAAAAGGGTATCAGAAAACTCTGGGAGGTGATAGATATGTTCATTATCTTGACTGTGTAATGGTTTCATGGGTTTATGCAGACATCAAACTCATCAAATTATGTATCTTAAATATGTGCAGTTTATTGCACATGAAATTATACATCAGTAAAGCTGTCTTTAAATAATATCCTCATTTCTACAGGTAAAATTCCTTTATCACTACTCGGAGTCTTTTATGAGATCAGGAGTTGGTTGTACAGAGAAGCAAGTAGAAAGGGAGGGTAGTAGAGTAGAAATGGTGGTAAAAAGTAACTATATCAACGAAAACTCAATATAAAATACACAGGTCTAAAATGCTACTCAAGAAAGAATCCATTATAGTAATCACCTGTTTAAGCTTCCTAATTAGTTCTCGAAGTTGAGCTTCCACACGAAATGCAGAAAATAAGCACCTCCAATGAATCCAATGTTTTTGGCACCATGAAGCTGGAGCTCCACTGCAAAACAAAAATAATGGTATAATGAAAATATCTTCTCTAGTCAATTTTATACCCCACGAATTTGTATAATCAATTATGTCTATATAAAAAAAGAAAGGAAAAAAAATATTTTCTATAAGTGAAAGATGGTCTTAACCTTCTCATCTCTATTACAAAAGTAGAAACCCTTAAGTGAAAACTGTCAGCTCTTTTGAATGAGACCTGTCTAAGTACTAAAAAACTACTTTAGGAAATTTGAAAAAAACGAATTAATGTTAAATGCCTCTGACTAAATTAAAAAATAATTTGTAAATGGACTTATATATACATATTACATATTCACACATTAACAAACATCTACTCATTTTCTCATCTAACCTATCTATATAGAAGCAAAATTCTATAAGGACATTTCCAGGAAAGGTTTGGGGAAAGAAAAAAGAAAACCAATATTATATACGAAATGCCTACTAAGTAACAGTCATATAGATAATCTCACTGATGTTCAAAATACCTTGAGGTCAATATCATTCCCATTGAATCTTACTGTCTAAAGTGACACAGTAAGTACATATTGGAGATATATAACAAACTGACATTTTCCAGTACAAAAGAGTACCTCACATACCTTGATTTGCATTGTTCAAAGATGACAGCTAATGTTGCAAAGTCATTAAATCCTCCAGCTTTAGCTGCCAATTCTCGATGTCTCTGTTCTGCTTCCTTTTGGTACTCTGGATCAACTAAAAGGAGAATTAGAGAAGCAATTTAGTTCTACTTTACATTAAATGCCTACACTCACCTTGTTTGTTTTTTCTCCAATGTGAATCTGCACAGCAGCAATTAGGAGGAAAGCAACCTGATTAATATTCATGAATGTATAAAGTCTTTCATCCCGGTCTTTAAGTAGCTTCCAACTATGTTACCTAGCTAGAGACAAAAGGAGAAGAAATACGATTTATCTCAGACCATACAAATAAATGGCTCTGCTATTGAACTGCTCAAGGATACTGATTCTTAAGTCATCTCATTTCAAGCACCCAACTACCATTCCCCAGAAGGTATGCCAAAAGTCAAATTTCACATACTCCAGCATCAACTCCATCCTGGCTTCCAACACTAGGAGACAAGCTTATGAGCCAGGCACTCCTGGAATACTTGAATCATGGTGTTTCCTGCTACAGAAATGCAGAGCCCCAGTTGCCTGGTTCCCCTGGGTTATGAAGCCTCAGAGATGCTTCTAGCCAGGGTCCAGTTCTTCCCTTCTTGCCTCCACCTAACCCTAGAAACCTTCAATTTGGCTGTAATACCTACTACAGTAATTTACATAGATGGCTCATCATCTCTTAGGATGTCAGAATAACTTTGCAATGAATTTTAGTGGGTTACAATTTTAAACTCAGCTCATATTTTATGAAGATTAACTCTCTATGGTCAGTTGTTGTTTAGAGTGGCTGCCTGCTTAAACTTTAAAAAATTTAGAGAGGGGCCGGCCTCATGGTGCACTCGGGAGAGTGCAGCGCTGGGAGCGCAGCGACGCTCCCGCCGTGGATTCGGATCCTATATAGGAATGGTCGGTGCGCTCACTGGCTGAGCGCAGTGCGGGTGACACCACACCAAGGGTTGCGATCCCCTTACCGGTCACAGAAAAGACAAAAATAAATAAATAAATAAATAATAAAAAATTTAGAGAGCTTCTTGGCTCTCCATTGTACATTACTACCTTCTCTCTGTTTCTCCTCTGTGTCTGTCTCTGTCTCTCTCTGTGTCTGTATATCTCCCCACCATTATTTTCAAAGTTAAAAGAAAAGACAGAGCAAATTCTTGTTCCTTTTTCCTACCTCTTCCCTCAAATATAACCTAATTAATTAAAATTAAAACTTGCAGGGCCGGCCCGTGGCTCACTTGGGAGAGTGCGGTGCTGATAACACCAAGGCCTCGGGTTCGGATCCTATATAGGGATGGCCAGTTGCTCTCTGGGTGAGCGTGGTGCTGACAACACCAAGCCAAGGGTTAAGATCCCCTTACTGGTCATCTTTAAAAAAAAAAAAAAACTTGCATGAAGTCCCACCATAAATTCAGGGTAGATATAGGAAAGTCTAAACCCACATTACATACAGTTGATAAATCTCAGAAAGTTTATCCTCTGATTAAATGATAGTTTATCCATTGTTGATTGTTTTCTCAGTAGACTTGTCATTTTCTTTAGTTTATTAACTTTCCCCAGATGAGAGTACATTATCAGTTTTACCTCATCAAATAAGTAGATGTCACATAGGCAACAACTATAAGTAAGAAGCTGAAGCAGCAAAACAAGGCAATACCAGCTGAACTTCTTCCCTTGGGAAGATAATTCAGTACTTTTCTATACAATAATAGATTTCAATAATAACAGTCCTCAGAGTTGAAGCAGAGGAACAAGGCTAAGTGCCACACACACATGATGTATCCTTTGTTTCTAAAAATATCACAATGAAAATATTTAAAATAAAAATTTTAAATATTATTTTAAATTTGTTCTATTATAAGGCAATGCTGTTTGCTACCTAAAAAACATTTAACAGCCCTCATTCCATTGTCTATCTTGTAAAGCAATAGATATTCTAGCAGATATTTGTATACAGTTTACTATGGCAAAAGAGAAAGATTACTATACATGTTGAAAGAATCATTGTTCTGATGTTTAAAATCTTAACTCAGTGTTCAGATCTGAGAACACTAGCCAGTTTTACCAATGATAAGTATAAATAAACTGAAGTAGGTGATCTACAACAATTAAGACCCAAGCCAGAAAGGATTGCCTAACCTATAAAGACTTTAAGTGCACTTCAAAGCAGGTGAAAAGCCAATGCAGCACATTTGGGGTGTGACAAGATCTCAACAAATCACATGCTCAAAAACTGAAGCTGCACTTTGCAGCCCCTGAAGTTCTTGATTACCCAGGTTTAAAAGCCTAGGTAATTTATGTATCTAGCAGGCTTATCTTTTCAAGCATAAATAAAAAGTTGGTAGCAGTTGCTGCCTCTAGGACTCAGACCTGGGGATAAGTTTAGGAGGGAGACTTACTTTTCACTTAAATTCTTTTGCAGTGTTTGAATTTTTAACTATACACATATATATAGAATGGTGGTTTAGTAATTAGGCAAAACCTCTCTCCCAGAGAGACATCCATTAAACTAGACAAAATTACCAAAGAAAATCACTTGAAGTCTCTGGAGATTGACCAAAGGGCTTACAAAAAATCTATGGAATTCAGTTAAGAACAGTAGGAAGCATGCCCCGTCCCCTCACAGCTCTGTGTGTGGAAGAGCTATTCCAGAGGGCCTGGCAGCCTGAAAGCGGCACTCTTTCCCTCACTACCAGTTCCTGTTCTGTAGGGAAGCTAATGAAGAATGCCATCTCCTATTCCCCCACAGCTTTGCATTGCAGAAGAGCTGTTACAATAGGTTTAGGGCTGAGTGGTAGCTCCCACTACTACCAGCTCCCAGGTTGGTTTGTTATTTTGTTTGTTTGCAGCCAGTGAACATCCAGAGATGGCATCTCATCAGGCTTTGTACTGGGGAAGATGCAGTGGTGGTAGCCGCAGCACCAGTTCCTACCACCCCCCAATCCCAAGCTTCTGCTCTATAGAGAGGATCCAGGTGGGGCAGCCAGTGCAGAGCAGGCCTCCATTTACCCCCCAACTCCGGCTCCATAGCAAAGAGATTATTCCCAAGGGAGGATGGGGGCAAGCATTGTCAAAGATCTGTAATATCTTGCCTCTGCCAAGGTGCTCAATTTTATTTGGATCAGAATATGGAGCAATTTATGCACTGTCAGAAATAATAGAGCAATCAGTTAGCAATCAGTGGAGACTAACAGCTTGGTTTGATACCAATAGAGGCAGACCAACCAAAAATTTAACAGAGAGATCAGTAAAGAAGACTCAGAGAAACCTAATAAAAACAAAGTCATCTGTGTTCTGAAGACTGTGCACATGCCCATAGTTATGTCTTCTGAAGAGCAAAGGGAGAGGGGAACTAGTCCTTGGCTGAACAAAGGACAAACTCATAAACTCCATGAACCATGAAAGTAGTCTCCAAACCACACAACACAGATCCAACAGTAAAAGGTGAAATCACCACTGGCTTAAGTGGCTTAGGTATAACCTCCAACCAATCATCAGCTGACCACTGGAGCTTACAAGTACAATAAACAAAATTAAAAGTAGAAGGGCTCAACAGTAGACCCGGGCTGGCAGAACAAAGAATCAGCAAATTATTATTATTTTTTTTTAATTTAAGACATGGGCAAAATATTTTAACAGATACTTCACAAAGGAAGACATAAATGGTCAACAGGCACATGAAAAAGTGCTCAACATTATTAATCATCCGGAAAATGCAAATTAAAACCACAAAGAGGTACATGATAGAACATTTATTTATTTATTTATTTATTTATTTATTTATTTATTTATTTATTTATTTATTTATTTATTTATTTATTTATTTATTTATTTATTTATTTATTTATTTATTTATTTATTTATTTATTTATTTATTTATTTATTTATTTATTTATTTATTTATTTATTTATTTATTTATTTATTTATTTATTTATTTATTTATTTATTTATTTATTTATTTATTTATTTATTTATTTATTTATTTATTTATTTATTTATTTATTTATTTATTTATTTATTTATTTATTTATTTATTTATTTATTTATTTATTTATTTATTTATTTATTTATTTATTTATTTATTTATTTATTTATTTATTTATTTATTTATTTATTTATTTATTTATTTATTTATTTATTTATTTATTTATTTATTTATTTATTTATTTATTTATTTATTTATTTACAAACACCTATCAACCGGATAAGGGGTAAACCAAATGTAGTATGTTCATTCAATGGAATACAACTCAACAGTAAAAAGAACAAAGCACTGATACATACAACAATATGGATGAATCTCACATACACTATGTCGACCAAAAGAGGCTGGACACAAAAAAGTACATATTGTATAATAACTCTACTTATACGAAGTTTCAGAACAGGTGAAGATAGCCCCCCCCCCCAAATATATCAGAAAAGTGACTGATTGGGGGGAGGTGGAGTGATATTTGACTGGGAAGTGGCAATAAGGGAACTTTCTGGAGTGATAAAAATGTTCTATTTCTTGAGAGGGGTGTGGGTTATCTGGGTGTATGCATTTCCGAAATTTTACTGAATGATACACTTAAGATTCGTACATTTCTATGTAAATTTTACCTTAAAAAAACTATAAACAAATATTGAACTCTAGTTATATAGTGTTGCCTTTTACAGTGTTATAGCTTAGCAATTTGAAACTACTTTTTACATATTCTAGGGGAAATGAACAATTTGAATATGGACTCTGGATTAGATACTAATATTATATCAATGTTACATTTCCTAATTTTGATAAATGTACTATGGTTAAATAAGAGATTGCTCTTGTTCTTAGTAAATATGAATGTTTTGTAATAAGGAAGCACAATGTTTTCAATTTACTCTTAAATAATTCAGAAAAAGAAAAAAAGCATATGTATTTATGTGTATACATATATATGGATACTTCAAAAAGTCTGTGGAAAAATTAAAAGATAATATGAATCTTTCCATGAACTTTGTGAAGACCCTTTGTGTGTGTATATACATATACAGAGAGATACAGACAGAGAGAGACAGAGAAGAATAAAGCAAAGGGGGTGAAATGTTAAAAACTGCTGAAACTAGATAGAAGGTATAAAGGAGTTCTTTTACTATTCTTGCAACGTTTCTGTTCAAGTTTGAAATTATAATAAAATGTTACCAAAAAAAGAAAAAAGAAAAAAGCTAACATTAGACTGGTTTTGTCTATTTAAATATTCCAATAAAGAAAAGAACATTTTCTTTTTGTAGCCTTAAAAGACTAGGAGAGTTGTATCACCTTAATCTAACTCCCTGGTTTTACAAATGAAAAAATCAAGTCCAGAAAAGCGAGGTAGGCCCATAGTCACATAATTAGGTAGCAGTGGAGTTGGACAGAAACCTACACTCTTGATTACCACTTCAATACTCTGTAATAGTTTTTAGAGTATTTTCAGCTTTGATACTACCTAATGAAAACCAGTCAACATTATTTATTGTATGTAGTATTTTACTAGGAAAAAACACTTGGAATTAACAGTATTACTAGAATCAATTCTGACACTTAACAAGGCAATCTACTCATATTTGGGGTAGGCAGCACACTGATTAATTTACAGAGTATTTTTATAGAAAAATGCATTCTCCATTATAATCATGACAATGATAAACCATTCTGAACCCAACACTCACAGCCTATAAATGGATAAGGCCAGTAAGACAGCACACACTAGTCTATTGTTAGTCTACAGACAAAGTGTATTATCTGCTCATGAGCTTCCTGAAAAAAAATTACCCCATTAGATGAAAGCTAAGCTGACATGTATCAAATCAAGTTGTATCCCATACTAACACACCAAAAAAGAACTAAACAGAAGTTTAAATGGAAACTTTAAAAGAATTCTTTAAGGATATAAAGGCTGAACTATCTTTTCTTTTGATTCTAGAAAAAAAAGGTTAATATATTACTAATGTACTATAAAAGAACAAAGGTCCACCCTGTTACCCTCCTTTACCAGTGAAAGGATATTAACTCTCAGCCAGGAACATTATATATTCCCTATGCCAAACAACTAAGTTTAAGGATAACAAAACATAAAAAGTGTTTATTATTAGTTTCCTGTTCCAGGACTAGGCATATGGTAAATCTTCAACAAATGCTCAGTGAATTACTGGAGATCTAAAAAGAATGGACAGATGGATAGGAAGATTTCAATACTGTCAAGGTGTTACTTCTTCCCAAATTGATCTATAGGTTTAACACAATCCCTATTAAAATCCCAGCAAGTTACTTTGTGATTTCAACAAACTGGGTTTAAGTTTATGTGGAAAGGAAAAATACCTAGAACAGCCAAAACAATGTTGAAGGGAAAGAACAAAGAGAATTAGGACTGGCCGATGAGGTCACCTGATTACAGAGTGGTGCTGACAACACCAAGGTCCAGGGTTTGATTCCTGAACTGGCCAGCTACCAAAAAAAAAAAAAAAAAAGTCAGAGAATTGACCCTACCTAACTTTAAGAGTTACTATAAATCTCCAATAACCAAGACAGTGTAGTACTGGCAGAATAGACAAACAGATCAATGGTACAGAATACAGAGCTCAGAAACAGATCCATACAAATACAGTCAATTGATCTTTGACAAAGGAGCAAAGGCATTTCAATAGAGAGGACAGAATTTTGAACAAACGGTGCTAAAACAACCAGACATCCAACTACTAAAAGACAATATAGGACAAAACCTAGATGACCTTGGATATAGCAATGACTTTTTAGATACAGGACCAAAGGCACGATTTACGAAAGAAATAATTGATAAGCTGGATTTCATTAAAAAACACTCTTGCTCTGTGAAAGGTGACATCAAGATGATGAGAAGATAAGTCACAGACTTAGAGAAAATATTTACAAAAGATATTTCTAGGCCGGCCCCGTGGTGCACTCGGGAGAGTGCAGCGCTCAGAGCGCAGTGACACTCCCGCCACGGGTTCGGATCCTATATAGGGATGGCCGGTGTGCTCACTGACTGAGCGCGGTGCGGGCGACACCAAGCCAAGGGTTGCAATCCCCTTACCGGTCATGAAAAACGGATCCTATATAGGGATGGCCGGTGTGCTCACTGACTGAGCGCGGTGCGGGCGACACCAAGCCAAGGGTTGCAATCCCCTTACCGGTCACGAAAAAGACAAAAAAAAAAAAAAAAAAGATATTTCTGATAAAGGATTATTATCCCAAATGTGCAAAGAGCTCTTAAAACTGAACAATAAGAAAACAAACAACCCAATTAAAAAAAACCTGAACATACATCTCACCAAAGAAGATACGTGGATGGCAAATACACATATAAAAAGATGCTCAACATCTTATGTTATCAGGGAACTGCAAATTATTAAAACAATGAGGTACCACTACACACCTACCAGAATGGCTAATATCCACCAAAACACTAATACCACCAGGATGTGAAGCAACAGGAACTCTCAGGTTCACTGCTGGTAGGAATACAAAACAGTACAGCTACTTTAGAAGACAGTTTGGCAGTTTCTTACAAAACTAAACAAACTCTTACCATATGATCCAGCAATGAGTTGAAAACCTATGTTCACACAAAAACCTTAACATGGATATTTATAGCAGCTTTATTCATAATTGCCAAAACATGAAAAAGCAGCCAACATATCCTTCAATAGATGAATGAGTAAACAAACAAATTCCATACAGTGGAATACTATTCAGAGGTCAAAAGAAATTAGCTATCATGTCACAAAAAGACATGGAGGAAACTTAAATGCATATTGCAGAGTGAAAGAAGGCAATTTGAAAAGGTTAAGTACTGTATGATTCCAATTATATGGCATTCTAGGCAAAACTATGGAGATAGTAAAAAGATCAGTGGTTTCCAGGGGGTTATGGGAAGGAATGTAGGGATGAATAGGTGAAGCACAGGGGAAATTTAAGGCAATAAAACTATTGAGTATGATACTGTAATGGTGGATACGTGTCATCACACATTTGTCAAAACTCATAGAATATACAACACAAACAGTGATCCCTTTAGTTAATAATGTATTAATATTGGTTCAATTGTAACAAATACACCATGCAAATGAAAGATATTAATACGAGGGCACTTCAAAAAGTTCACAGAAAAACAGAATTAAAAGGTAATACAATTTTTTTCATGAACTTTTTGAAGTACCCTCACAGTAGGAGAAACTGTGTGTCTATAGGGGGGGATTGAGGAGGTAAATGTAAACCCTCTGTACCTCCCACTCAATTTTTTTGTAAACCTAAAACTCCTTTAAAAAGTAAAGTCTATTAATTAGAAAAAACAAACAAAAAAACTTATCAATAAACTTCTTACCGGGTCTAATGAAGACATTTTCCACAGACAACATTGCTGCTATTGGAAGTAGTAGATCTTCGAACTTTTTGAAGTACCCTCACAGTAGGAGAAACTGTGTGTCTATAGGGGGGGATTGAGGAGGTAAATGTGAACCCTCTGTACCTCCCACTCAATTTTTTTGTAAACCTAAAACTCCTTTAAAAAGTAAAGTCTATTAATTAGAAAAAACAAACAAAAAAACTTATCAATAAACTTCTTACCGGGTCTAATGAAGACATTTTCCACAGACAACATTGCTGCTATTGGAAGTAGTAGATCTTCACAATCCAGCGAGGCAGCCTTTATTACTGCACATGTCAGATGGGGAGGGAGAGGAAACTCCACCATAGACAAACCCAGTCTGGTCACATGGCCACTCCTTAATAGAAAGAAAGAGTTCTTACATTTGGGAGAATACAAATGTAATCTTCATCATTCAGAATAAATCAGATATAATCTAGATAATCTTAAATCACCTCCAGAAATTCAATTCAATATAAGAAAATAAAACCCTGTTGTAATTGATAAGAGGAACATAAAAATGATAAATCCCCTGTCAAAAGCCTTAACACATTCGAAAAACTAAATAACAAGGCAGAATAAAATAGTATAAAAAAAGATACAAACATGCTAAAGAAGCATAGAGGAAGTCCTTGAAGAAATGAGAGAAGAATAATCAAACATTCCCCCATCACACACAATTATGAGAACAAGGCTGGCTCTCTTATTGTGTTTATGTACCCAGCATAACACTTGGCACTGAAATAGTACTCAGAAATTACTTGTTAAGTAATACCAATATTAAATGAAAATGGTTTTATGGCAGTTTTTAAATCAGAATTGTGAAGAAAGACTGAGGACAAATTCTAATTTCAAGTAAAACAATCCATTCCATTTAAACAAATCATTTTCTACTGATAAAAAAAGGTATTTAGAGCCCTGTTTAAAAAGAGATCAATGTCTGTTTTGGTTGGGTTTTTTTTTTTACCTGTCAATAGCATCACACTGGTAAAGTTGTTTAAGAGCTTCCAAAATAAGTCTCTCATTAGGTGGATCCAAATAGGGAAACCTGTGTATTTAAATGAAACATGAAATGAAAGGCCATTCTTTGAACATAGTAGGATTTTATACACATGATGAAAATGTTCTTAAAGGTTTTACTTCTCCTATTTTTCAAGTCCTCTTCTTTTTTTAAACATAATATGATCATGATTAGCATTCAGCATAAGAGGAAATAATTTCTTATGAACCACACTCCGCTAATTCAAGAAGCACTTTGACTCCCGTTAGCTGGAACACTCTCACCATTCCATTCTCCTTATCTTATTCCTGCCACATCCTTCACAGCCAATGTCAAGTTTACTCTCTTCTGAAGTCCACAATTGTTTTTTTACTAAATTTTTATGAAAGTGGAGAAAAATTAATGGAAAGTGGCCAAAAATTATACATTGTTTAATAGTACCACAAATGCTTTTAGATGAAAGAAGTATATATTCAATTAACTTTGCCATATTTGCATTACATATGTATACATTTATATGTACTTATTTTCTGCTGAACTATCTGAAAACAAATTACAAATACAAGGCTGCTTCACTCCCAAAACACTTTAGCATGCATCTCCTGGAAATAAGAGCATTCTCTTACATTACCATGATACCATTAATGAACGTAAGAAAATTAACCAAAAAATTAAGAATAATATTCACAAAGGATAGCAGAGTGGCACATAACCAAGTGTGAATACATATTTTTTTTAAAATAGGAATGATAATTACTTAATATCATCTGCACTAAATTGTTTTTCCACCTTTAGTGTTGTTTTGGAGGGGAGTCTGGCCAGTACAGGGATTCTAACCCTTGACCTTGGTGTTATAACACTGCACTCCAACCAACTAAGCGAACCGGGCAGCCTACCTTAAGTCTTAAGATGAAAAATCATCTACTCCAATTTCTCGCCTTGAAAAAGGTCCAATAAAGGACAAAAAATCCGATACCTTACATAAATGTCCACTCCAAACTGACAGCTGTATTTTATTAATTTATTTTTTAAACTATTTTTTTCAATTTTGTTTATTTTTGTAAGGTACAGTGTGTTGTTTCAATACATGCATTTACTGGGCTTGCTAGTTAGCTCAGTTGGTTAGAGCACAGTCTTATTCTTATAATACCAGGGTCATGGGTTCAGATCCCCAAACCAGCCAGTGGCTGGGGGGAAAAAAAAATGCATATACTACACAGTGATTCACTTAGGGTAGATAGCATAGTTTTGTACCTGTCACCAGGGTCATGGGTTCAGATCCCCAAACCAGCCAGTGGCTGGGGGGAAAAAAAATGCATATACTACACAGTGATTCACTTAGGGTAGATAGCATAGTTTTGTACCTGTTAGTCCACAACTTCTGCTCCCCTACACCCTCCTGACAGCTCTATTTAAAAACACACAAAAATCTCTTAGACTGTTCTACTGTTAGCTTTCCTACAACTTGTACCAACAGGTCACAGTAGCTTCTAGAGCTAGAGTTGGTAAACATTTTCTATAAAGGACTATATAGTACAGTTTAGGCTAGCATGCCATACGGTCTTTGTCATAATTACTAAACTCTGCTGTTGTAGCAAAAGCAGCCATATGTAAATGAATGGGCATGGCTGAGTTCCAATAAAACTTTATTTACAAAAATGGTCAGCAAGGTTTGACTGTGGTTTTCAGCCCTTGTACTAGAGCACTACCAAACTAATTAGCTTCCTCTTCTATATAATAGTATTATCAGATCTGCAAAAAGTGCAATTATTTTTCTCCTTTGATCCCACCAATTACCAATTCTGTCAAGCACTTATTATAAATTATTTCATTTCTAAGAGACTCACCATAGCTAATTACTATCCTCTAGAAACACTCTAGGTTGTCAAACTTCCCATAAAATTTGACGATATCCAAAACTGAACTCCAAATGCTGAGTAACCAACACAGAACAGGAGTGCTATAATTCCCTGTCATCTAGACATTAGTTTATTGATATAACCAAAGTTTACAGCCAAAAAACCAGTGGGGTTTTTAAAAATATTTTTTTAAACAGAATCATAACTGCAAGTAGATATTGGTTTGTGGTGATCTGATAATTTCAGATCTTTTTTCTTTTTTTTGGCAACTGACTGGTAAGGGGATTCAAACCTCTGACCCTGGTGTTATAAAGATACACTCTAACCAACTGAACTAAATGGAAAGCCTAATTGCAGATCTTTCCCACATGAATTTCCTTACTGTACATCCAAAACACCAGATATAGGATGTATCCTTTCAGACTTTTTTGATTTTTGAGGGGGGTTTGTGGAGAGGGGCTGAACCCTTGACCTTGGTGTTTCAAGGCTGAGCTCCAACCAACTGAGCTAACCAGCCAGCCCAAATTTCTATTTTTTTTTTTCCTTGTTGATTTTTGCCCAAGGTTCTGGCCTGTTGTGATCATTCTAAAGCTTTGTTTTAATCACCTACCAATTAGATATTAAGACACTTTCCAGAAATCTGATACTCATAATTTCAATAGCTTCATTCAACATCTTCATTAAAAATGCTTATCAGGAAAGAGCTAAGTTCAGTGCACTACCACTAAAACCTCCATCTAGACTAAACTAAGCAATTAATTGATACTTTTTGGATTTGGCTATTTGACAACTATACCCTATTCAGTACTATCATCTCTAGATTATTTCCTTATTCACAAAGTTATCAAATGCAATCTTGTTCAATACTGTGTTGAAAACAAAAGATATTAGGTTATCATTCAATAAATTCTGATGGAATACCCGTTATACGGATGGTCCTGCCCTCTAACTGAAAATGAAATGGTTTGTAATGACATATTCATTGTGAACCATTTTAATTCATATTCGTTATTACAAATCATCATTAAATTCTGCCATACAAAAGAAGCTACAAAAAAATAGTTTCTGGGCCGGCCCAGTGGCTCACTCGGGAGAGTGCGGTGCTGATAACACCAAGGCCCCGGGTTCGGATCCCATATAGGGATGGCTGGTTTGCTCACTGGCTGAGCATGGTGCTGACAACACCAAGTCAAGGGTTAAGATCCCCTTACCGGTCATCTTTTTAAAAAAAAAAAAAAAAAAATAGTTTCTGACTGGAATTAGGGTCATTATACATCTTTCATTACAAATAAACAGTAGTCACAAATTAATCCAAATAAATATCTGTACAAGGCCCCCTACTAAGCCAAGCCTAAAACATGAGCAAGGGATCAAATCCCAATAAAGCAATGAAAGGAAGGCTTTTATTTGGGTTTAGTAGAAAAGCATCCAGTATGAAAACCAATTTTGAAAATAGGTTAGTCTCAACTCTCAGGGATATATGAGTCAAATACTGCAAAAGAATTTTTGAGGAATAGCCTGCCTCCACCATAACAAATTTTTCTTTTTTACAAGTGGTCCGCATACCTTATGACATCATGTATGGCAAGGCACTTTAAGGTCAGAACTACAGATGTCAAACTAGTTCTCTTAATCTCAGGGATCACATGGTCAGGCATACACTGGTTCCAGAAATCTTTACTATAGATCCGGAAGCATTTTCCTGAGGAAGTCCTGCCAGCTCGGCCACTTCGTTGTAATGCCTCACTCCTACAGAAGAAAAAAACAAAAGTCTCCAAAATGTTTTGTGAGTTTCCTAAGTAATTTACTTCCTATCCCCAAACCAACCAGAAATTATCTAATCAACTATTCTTCGAACAAAAAGTCTGAACATAGAGACTTACTTTGAAATTGGAACCACCTCCAGGATGTCCAACCCTAATCTGGGGTTGTGATTTAATTGCTTCACAAAGCCACCATCTACCACATATCTAAGGAGAAGGAAAGCAAGTTAAGTTTCTAGAAAATAAGGGAAGACTTGTTCCTTTTTAACCATTTTCGGTTCTCCTTTTCTACCAAATTAACGACCACACAATGCAATGCCATTTATGTTAAGTGTAAAACCTGAAAGTCAAGAAATTGGAACCCTCATGCATTGCTTGTGAGAATGTAAAATGGTTCAACATGGAAAGCAGTTTAGCAGTTTCTCAAAAAGCTAAACATAGAATTACCACAGGACCCAGCAATTCCATTCCTATGTAGACACCCAAAAGAAATGAAAACAAGTACTCAAAGCAATACTTGTAGGCAAACGTTCATAGTAGCATCATTAACAATAGCCAAAAGGTAAAACAACCTCAATGTCTTTAACAAAATAATAATTTACAGTATATATACAATGGAATATTACTTGGGTCATAAAAATGAATGAAGTATTGACACACGCTACAACATGGATGAACCTCAAAAACATTATGCTAAAAGCCCTATAGAACAAAGGCCCAATAAAGTCCATTCCCAGGGCCAAGGCTTAGCCCCAGGGCACCCTACTTCTCCATGCTGAGTACCTGGACATGTCCCAGAGTGTCCAGGGTCATGCACTCATGAATGAGGGGGTCAGGAACCAGGTACCTTTTTATTCATTTCTGAACCTCAACTCCTTTCAAATCTCGGCTCTATTCAACAGGGCAAAGAATGCTAATCATATTTATTTGGGGTCAAAGTTTTTTTTTTTCTGAAATCCTTACATCTCACCTTGACCTCTAAAGCAAATTATGATATCCAGCACAGCATTGTCAAAAAGAGCTGTTGTAAAGCTATTTAGCTTGACAGGCTTTTATTTATAACAGGTTTTATTGCCTGGCTAATGCTCACTACATGCCCTTCCTCATCCTCTACAGTTGGAAGAGGGCCGTTCACTTTATTTAACCAGTCATACTACATTTATGTGTAAACTGCTTTTTTGGACTATCTGCCTGGAAACCTACAGTAAACTACCAATTGAGGCCATGATTTTATTTTGGTAGGTATGTGCACATATTCACATACAATTACTCAAAAAGAGAAAAAATCCTACCTTCTCTGTCATATCAGATACTGGAAAGCAATCTAAACTGTATAATATTTACAGGTGAGGTTATTAAAAAGATTTATAAACCACTTTCCAAGAATGTTTCTTGTGTTTCATTAGTTATTCAATTGGTATATGGAGATATTTTGCTTTACTCATATGGAAAAAATATTTTAATATCTTTCAATTCATTTGACATACAAATTTTTATAAGTAAGGAATGAGTATGCCATCCAGCTATTACCAACTTCTAGAATTCAAAGTAACCCCTCAAATGTCTTCATTTAGACCAATGCTCTCAAAATTTCTCATTGTGTTAATGAAAGCATGGTGAAACTGCATTTCTAAAATACGAAAATTCTAAAGAAGTTTCTATTTCTAATATTAAAATAAAAGGCAGCTAATACTGTGGGGCAAAAGCTATCCTGGGCTTTTTTCTTTTTTCCCCTCCCCTGTAAACTTTAGAAACCAGAAAAAAAAATCTGGGATTGTATAATAAACTTTCAAAATAACACACACACACACACACACACACACACACACACACACACACGCAAAAAATACCCATTATGCTAAATCAAAGAAACCAGACACAAAAAGTCACATATTATACGATTTCATTTCTATGACATATCCAGAAAAAGAAATACAAAGAAACAGAAAGCAGACTGGTGGTTGCCAGGGGCAGGGGAGGAGAGAGGAATGTGGAGTATCTACTCAATGAGTGTGGGGTTTATTTTGGGGTAATAAAATGTTTTAGAACTAGATAGAGGTAGTGGTTGCACAATACCATAGTGTGCAAAATACCACTTAATTGGTCACTTTTAAATGATTGATTGTTATGTAAATATCACCTCAATAAAAAAATAAACAAATTTGAAAGTTAGCTCTAGACTGTCCTAACAGGTTCAGAATCTAATTCCAACTAGCTTTTAACATACCATTTTAAGCCAATTAAAAGGAGAACAAGTCACGTAAGGAACTAAGGAATAGCAGTAAATCCATCATTCACTACGACATGCTATTTAATGGCTTTTGCCTGTGCTGGAAACAGAAAATTACAAATTTCAATTTACTCAGGAGAGCTGCTCCCCTAATCCCTTATGAAACCACTATTTTTAAAGCAAAGGAAAAAAGCAGAGGCAATCAGACTTCTCTCAGATCTGGATGATCATTTTACTTAAAAGAAATACAAAGGATCTTTGGGATTCAGGTCCAGACTTCCTGTGGCAGAGAGTAAGACTTAGCTAAGGACATAAAATATATTGGGTAAATGATAAATATCCAAAAGGGATGTGGTTCAACAGTCTGAAAGAATTTCACACGAACTACCAGTCCAGACTTAAAATTTCCAAGTGTTTCTTGGGCTGGCTGGATCCCCTTACCAGTCATCTTTTAAAAAAACAAAATATAATAGCAAAAACTATTTTTTCTTTACTTTTCATTGCTAAGATTTCTAAATCCATGCAATCACAGGTTATTATTGCTAAAAGAACTCCTACAGCAGAGTCCTTTATTTAGGTCATAGCTCCCTTTGAGGATATATAGAAAAACCACGGACTTCCTCTCCATTAAAAGGCACATATATACACACATAAAGAAATTTCAAACAATTTCAGGGTATTCAGAGACTCTCTGAAGTCCACCCATGGACTCTGCCTTAAAAGCTGATTAGATAAGCAATTTTTATTTTTGAAGGTGTCTGCCTAACTCATAACTACTTCTCAAAAGAAGTAACACCACACTCATTTCTACTACCCACACATTCCAAACGGTGAGCCTCAGCAGCAATGCTTGTAGTATGGTACCTTGCTCCTCTGGACATAGTTTATAGCATCAAGGATAAACATTTCCCCTAAGCAAGGCCAATCTGATTCTCTGGTGAATTTGGAATAAGGTCCAAGAGATGTTCAATTTGATTAGGCTAGTCTCTTGCAAAGAGGAAAATAAATTTGTGACCCATATAGAAGTAACTAATGTACATGGAGAAGAGAAAGCTAGCCTAAAAAGAGAAAAGTGTGAGGCCAGCTGGTTAGCTCAATCCTTTAGATCTGGGTATTATAATACCAAGGTGAAGGGTTCAGATCCTTATTACTGGCCAACCAACCCCCACCCCCACCCCCCCAAAAAAGAGAAAATAATGAATCAGCCATGAGCACAGACAAGAGTATTTCTAGGTTCCTGGCACCTCCAAGGCCTTAACAGGCATGACTGTGAAATAAATAGAAAGATGGGTTTTTTTCTGGTCACTCTTGCTCTCCTACCAGGTTAAGCAGAAAACAGGGCAAAAGAAATAAGAATGTGTGCAAGGAAATTATTGCAGTATGGGAGAAAGGAGATAAGTGAAGACTGGTGAAAGACAAGTCTCAATGCATTCTGTAAATTGCTGAATTAGGAACAACAGAGTAAGTGAGTTGGCAGAAAAAGGGTAAGTAATCATCAGAGAGCAAATGTCTAAAATTGAGATTCAGAAATGACGGTAATGACAAATTCTATGATGTAAGCATTTCAATGGGTGGCTGAGGTCGGATGAAGAAAAAGACTGATGACCTTCAAAGCAAGAGAGTTTGGTGGATCATCTCTGTCAATGATATCCAAAAATTATGAATGATCATTCCAGGGAGTACACAAGCCAAGCTCCTGGGATATGAAAAGAAACTCTTAGCATTTCCATCTATATATTTCATAGCATCCTTTTAAATGTTTTATTTTAAATGTGTTTAATATTATATATTAGTAAGGTAGTACATACATATACTTTGTTTTTTAAAGGCCTGATAGTCATTTGATTTCCAGAACATATGCACATATTAGTTTAGAAAATTCACTTTTTGTACATGAACAATCTCGAGTTGTTTTCTTTCCAGCAGCCAAGAAAACCTATTGAAAATGAAGTAAAAATCTCTTTTCAAATAAAATCTTATAAAGATCCATTACTCCCAATATATATTTCTCTCTTTTTTTGTCAACTGGTTGGTGTGGGGATTCAAACCCTTGACCTTGGTGTTACAACACCATGTTCTAATCAACTGAGCTAACTGGCCAGCCCCTAATATATAAACCAGACCAAAGTTGAACTAATATGAGGGAGAAAAAGAGTGGCATAGTTGAGTATGGTTTTAAATTCATGGAACTTGGCCAACTATCTCATTTTATAGATGAGAAAACTAAAGCCCAGAAAGCTCAAGTGGTTGGCCCAAGATTTCCATAGAGACAGGTAAATTTAAAACAAAGTTAAGCAATGTTGTTATTCCTCCATATTACTGAGAAATTAATTTCTCAAGTAAAAAAGTGCTAGAATAGGTACCTCATAAAAGATAACTGTAGAGTATTTTGATATAAATCTAAAAAACCTATTTATTTCATATTTGAAGACTGATGAAAAGGATAAGGGTTAATATTATTTTTTAGGCATTTCATATATTTAGGTAGTTCATTTCTTCTAGATAGTTCAAATGAGTAACATACTACTTTCTAGTTCAAATTATATGTTTACACATTTATTTATTACCTATTTACTATAATGTAGCTCCACAAGGCAAGGGCTTTCTTTCATTTAAGGCATATCCACAGTACTCAGATCAATGCCTGGCTCAGAGTAAGTGCTCAATAAATCGTTGTTAAATAAACTGATGAATTAAAAATGCATTATATAAATAATAGAGATCCTTCTATGTTCAAAATCCCACTTTACCCTAAAATTCTACATTAATTAGAAATGTTCTTTCTGAACATATTTACTCATAATCAAGTGTGTTTTTCAATCAACCCATTTCTAAAAGTCCCTAATTTGTTTTGGCCTTTAGTTCAAGCAAAATTTCTGATTCACTTACGATTTGGTTTACTGTAATCAATTAAAAAGTCCTGAAATGGCTATTTTGACAAGACTCGCATTTATTTCATATTGTACATTTCACCCCA